AGGATCGGAGCATCCACAAGCTTGTAAGCAGCGTGTGCGTGCTCCCAAAACCCGATATGGTCCTCTGCTCCCGCCATACCTGCCCCTCCCACTGACCGTACCTATCACACCACCCTCTATTAATCCCCCAGTCTCCTCCCTCACCACTCCGCGCCCCCCAGACTGGACTGGCCCCGGCCTCTGAGAGGGCTCCCCCAAGGGTATTTAGGCAATTTTAACCAATTTGACAATGGGGCCTTATTTTTCTTTTTAGTGAGGACACATAGACCCTCTCATTGGCCAGGGTGCTGGTGGTAGGGAAATTTCTAGGATTAGTTTCAAGTGATAGTGGTCACTGTTAAATCAACAAGGTAAAGAAGCTAGGCAAATTATATATACACAGACACTATTCTTTGGAAGTCTTAAATTCATGGTCATCTTTTTTTAGCAAATGTATTTTTATTAAAAATGTATTTTTTAGTATTTTTTTAAGTAATTGTATCTTGTGGAGCAGTTAAGGCTGGGGTAGGCAACCTTGGCTGTTTTATGACTCGTGGACTTCAACTCCCAGAATTCCTGAGCCAGCATGGCTGGCTCAGGAATTCTGGGAGTTGAAGTCCACGAGTCATAAAAGAGCCAAGGTTGCCTACCCCTGAGTTAAGGCATCAGACTAGAAACTGGGAGACTGTGAATTCTAATCCTGCCTTGGGCATGGAGCCTGCTGGGTGACCTTGGACCTATCACTCTCTCTCAGCCCTAGGAAGGAGACTATGACAAACCACTTCTGAAAAACTTTGTCAAGAAAATCTCAGGGACATGTCCAGGTAATCTCTGAAAATTAGACATGACTGAATGGATGGGGGGAAAAAACCTAATAATAAGCCTCCAATCACTCATTGCAAAAGAAATCCAACTTAGGTATGAATTGGACCTTCTGGAGCTTCTCAGTTGAGCAACACATAATAAAATTATTGAATGAATTATTTATTCCATCACCCCTTTTTAATTGACTCACGTGGAATTTTGTTGATAAGGCCTTCAATGAAGCTGGGTTGGGCAGTGGTTAGCGCAGCGCTTGTTGTGATGTTACTGGAGCCTCTGGGAGCAACAGTGATGCCAGATGAGGCTATAGTAGCCATGGCCCAGAAAAGGTGAGCTGGAAAGAGAAACAACATAATCATTTAGAAGAGGCTGATTACGTTCCGACATCGCCATATAGATGACCATCACCTTTCATACAACCTGAATTTAAATCACACCTCAATATCTATTTTCTGCATTAGGAATAGCCAGTCAAATTCTAAACTAATACAAGGTAATGGCTCCTCTGAGCATCCAGAATATAATTTATTATATTATTAGGATCATCCTTTGAAAGAAGCATTCCTTTCTGCTCTTTTCTGTAGAGGCAGTTCCCTACGCAAAGCTCAATTGACATCTTTTCTAATCCAGAATTGGCTTTCCTGTCTGTCAGCCTCTCTTTAATTCTTTAAACAGAAGGTTTTTTAGCCCCAGCTGGCAATGCCAGGCTTGAACTGCATCTCTTGTATGCAGAAGAAGCACTCTACCATCGAGCCCCAGCCTCTCTCATGTTCCCATATTGTAGAAAGTGGGAGTGCTTCCTAATCTGCTGAATACTTTTCTAAGAAATGCTTATGTCAACGCTGCAAATACTGTATATTCTTGCTTTGACAATATGCAGAACTGTCTGGTATTTTTATAGTTAAACCAGGCAACAGGGAAAAGGGAGGAGAATAAGGATAGCCCAAACCGGAAGTAAATCACATCTTCCAAATTAATTGGAAGATGTGAAGATGTGAACCATGAGTCCGTAAGGAGAAGGGCGGGATATAAATACAATAAACTAAACTAAACTAAACTAAACCCCAAAATAGAGTCAGGGAAAAATGCTTGGAATGTATGCGTAACGGAAGAGAAGCCAGACCTAAGCATTTCCACCATGCTGTACTGACGTCTCTGTAACCTTAATAAATGCTTTTAGGAGTAAATATGCCTGAAAGTCCTTTTAAGTGTTTCGTTAATCAGACACATGACAGCTTATTCTTGTGAATATGAATCAACCAAATGCATAAAGAATGGTAAGTTTTGTGGGATTTGCCTCAAGAGCCAATCTGCTTCTTTCTAGCAGTGCTCCTACTGTGAAGGTTCACAAATGTGTAGTCCAGGCAGGTGTGAAGATTAAACTCCTCCCTGGCAACCCAAGGGCCACACCAAATCAGGATGGTAGCTGCATCACTGATTTATCTTCGCTTCTAAATAACATCCACTTGTGTTGAGTGTTAAGATACCTGCATCTTAACACTCAATACCTTAATCAAGGAACAGTGCTGGAAATAGGAAGTCCTATTTCCCCAGCAACATAAGAATAGTTTTTCTCAGAGCATTCCTTAATAAGAAAGCTCAGCTTTCTTTCCAGGAGATAAAGATGTAAAATAGTTGTTAAAACAGATTGTGAGTACTGTATAAACATCCTTCGCTAATTAATACCATTAATTCTTTGAGGTATTTTAATTACTACATTATGCGGCAAAAAGCCACATAATGAGTCCCACTCACAATGCCAGAAGGCCTTCCCAAGGATCATGAACTTCATGGGTGGCCATAGAAGATGAAATAGAAATTGCAACTAGCTGAGAACATGGCCGCCCTTGCTTGTATGTGCTTGATAGGGTGTCTTTCCCGTACTCAAATAGTGTCGGTTTAATATGTTTGCAGTGATACATAAAACCACTACACAACATAGAACCATTGAACTTATAGGGTCACCCAATAAGAGAGTATCTCTTATAGCATGTTTTGCATTCCTAGATCATCCATTTTCATCAATGCTTAATTAGCACTTTACTGTGATATGAAACAAATCTCCCAGGACTTTTAATATTTTAGTTTTTAATGCTGTTTTACTGGGTTGGTTTTTAGTATTTTATCTTTCTTCTTATTAATGGGATTTTAATCTTTTTATTGTCTTTCTATAAGTTGCCCACAGAGAGTGTTTGTTTGTTACAGTTATGTGGCCAACCAATCAACCAAAATTACTCTGGGCAACTTACAAACAGTAAGGCATCAAATAAAGCCTAATGAAAAGAATATAAAACCACAGTACACAACCTACAAGCAATAATGAAACAAAAAGACAATTAAATGCCAATACAAACAGAAATAACACTATTATACGATTGGGACTGTAACACGTCATAACCAAACTGCCTGAGGAAAGAGCCAGGCCTTGACAGACTTCCTAAAAGCCAGCATGGTTGAGCATTTCATTAAGTCAGAAGGAAAGTTGACACTGGAATGTGCGCCTCCTGGATGCCACAAGATTCCAATGAAGGTACTCAGAAGAGGCTCTTCCTATCAGAGTGTATGAGGGGAAGATATATTGGGGATAGAGCAATCCCCAAAATAATCTGGTCCTATGCCATATGATAACCAGCACCTTGAATTGCACATTCTACACCAATTATAACTTCCTGGAGGTGTTCAAGGGCAGTCCCACGTACAACACATTGCAATAATTCAAACAGCAAGTGACTGAGGCATGAGTGACTGGCACACAAGACAAAACTGTGCAAAGCCCCCTGATTACAACTGCCACCTCTCAAGCAGGAGTAGAGAGTTCAGGAAAATCCCCAAATTGCAGACCTTAACAGTTTCACCAGGATAGGTGGGACAGAGATATAAATTGAGTATCATCAGCGTACTGATAATCCTGCACTCCATGCTGATCCAGCTGCATGCTTTCTCCTTTGGCCAGTACACATTCAAAGACATGCTATCATTACTCAGATGTGCTACAATACCTACTGGCCGCATTACCAGCCCTGGAAGGATGGAGATTCTCTAAAATATATTCCTCTATATTTTCTCTATTAGTTCTGTAACTTGATAGTACTGTAGCTCTAAGAAGGAAAGTGTCTTTTCATTTCACCATTTTTATTCATAACCATCTTGGGGTTTAAAAAAGACAATGGATCTTCTATTTTCTTCCTTCATGCTCCTCTACTCTTGAATTTCTGTCCCTCTTTTCCCATTGTTATACTAATACATGTCAGCATTACAAGATTGTTTTTCTCCCTCACTGAAGAGATTGAGATGGATCCCAGCTAGGATTGACCTTTACTTAACCACAGGCATACATTGTTTTAATATTCTTCCTGTTCACACGTCTCAGGACTTCTGTTAATTGCCTAAATCTCAACAGGTACTGGGGATCATTGTGTCTAGATCTATTCTTAATCATTCTTAATAGTTCAGTTTCTGGATCATTAAATCTCATTGGGACATTCCCTCTGCTCTTGTTTTTAGGTTCCCTCCCCTTTGTATTATCTTGCATTATCATATTGGTTTAAAGTTTACCTACACAGAAGAATTGTGGCAGAACTTGTACCAATAAGGAAGAAGGGTATAGCTAAATAGAGGAATGACTGTGCTATGCTTCCCACCAATCCTGGAATTCAAAATAGCATGCCTTTACCTTTTGCCCCATTGGCAAATTTCCTTAACACTGCTTCCTTTCTTTCTTTCTTTTCTTCCTCCCTCCTTCCATTTAATTTCTGCACTGTCCAAGTCCAAAATGACTCTAGATAGCATGCAAGGCAAATAAAACAAGATGAAAATAAAAATTTAGTTAAGAAAATTATAAATCCAAAAAGCCAACTCTAAACCATATGCAATATACTAATACTAATACAATATGCCAAGCACATTTAAGAAGGAATTCCATTCTCTCTACCCTGTGGTCTTTAAATATTTGCTTCTGGAAAGGTTTTTTTTGGGGGGGGGGGCGAGTGAGATTAAATAAAATCCAGGGATCCAGGAGAAAAGGTTTCTCTGTTGTGGCTCCTGCCCTCTGGAACATTCTACCCTCTGAGGTGAGATTGGCTCCCACCCCCCTGACATTTCATAAGAGCCTTAAGACCTGGCTCTCCCCAATGGAGGGAACTTCATACAGGAAGTGGTTGGCTAATTAAAACCTAATCCCATCTCCCTCTCCAGTGTACCTGGCTCCCTTCTTTAGTGTTAGATCGCGCAGGCAGTAAGACACGAGTCGAGTGACAGTCAGCTCTTGGTTTATTGGCAAGGCATAAGGTAAATCCGGACTGGCTCTCTGGGCCAGGGGAGCCCTCTTTTATGGGATTCCCCTGGCTTGTAATCACACAATTCCATTGGCTGGCAAGACCCTGTTGCTAGTTAGCCAACCAGCAACGGGCANGGGGGGGGGGGGGGGGGAGTGAGATTAAATAAAATCCAGGGATCCAGGAGAAAAGCTTTCTCTGTTGTGGCTCCTGCCCTCTGGAACATTCTATCCTCTGAGGTGAGATTGGCTCCCACCCTCCTGACATTTCATAAGAGCCTTAAGACCTGGCTCTCCCCAATGGAGGGAACTTCATACAGGAAGTGGTTGGCTAATTAAAACCTAATCCCATCTCCCTCTCCAGTGTACCTGGCTCCCTTCTTTACCATATTGTGTTTCTGATTTTTATCTGCTTTGTTATATTATAACTGAGAATTTTAATGTTTTTTAATTTTTTTAATATTGTAAGCCACCCAGAGTTGTTGGACATGAGATGGATGGCAAATAAAGTTCCTAATAAATAAAAATAGTAATAAATAAATAAAAATGTTTTAATTATTAAGTTAGTGTATATTACAAATCAATACGAACAGCAAAAGCTTGCAGTGGGGTTTAAGAGAAAAATCTAGACTGTTCCTAGGCTTACTAGGAACTACAGCACTCAACCAGACTGAGTAGTAGTACAGCAGTTAGAAGGTTATAAATTCCTTAAACCCATAGATATTAAGGTCATACACTTCTTGGTGTGTGGTTTTAGGATTAAAAATATGTAAATGATGTTGTTTAGGATGTTTTATATATTTAATTCCAAATCTCCTGTCAGGTATGCATTTGATATTTTAAACAAAAATTATTAATACAAGTGTTAACCTTCTGCATTCATTCTTTCTGATTTCTGATGCTGTATGCTTTGGGCTCAATAGCTATCAATTAATCTAAGTGAGCTATTGTTAAAGATATACCAGTTCCTTCCAAAGATATAGGATACAGCCAAAAGATCAAAACACAGCTTGTATTATCATCTAAACCAGTGCACAGTAAAATCAGATCTATTTTGTCTGGTGAGTCTCAAGACAAGCTGTGGTTTTAGAACATAGAAATTATGTTGCATGAGATAATCAAAATGTTGCTCCCGCAGTGGTGCAATCAAACAATGAAATTATAATTGCATTCTTGGCCATGTATAAAAGAGACAGTTCAGACTGTTGTAGAGCACAAACTGTGAACTGTGAGCATCAAGTGCATGTTGCACATCAAATGAATGCAACTACTGAACTGAATAACCAAATGCTGATTAAGGTATAACAATAGCTCTAATTACCAGCATTTCCTGGCATAACAGTTTGAGATTCCTGGCTGGCTGAATATTTTGGAATCTAATTGGTTTTGGATGCCTGAATACGTAGGAGTCCTGTGCAATTCGTTGGCGATTAAATGCCCTTGAATATCAGTTATATATCAGATTAACCACAAAGTCTACTTTCCCGCTACAAAAGGAACAGCCAGAGATTATCATAGCTATATACAAGCCATGGGACTTGTTATACTAAAGAGAATTCAAAGTAAGGAGAAGCCATCCACTGCAGAAAGATATCTATTAACTATAAACAGACTCCAAGCACACCCTATGGGGCCTGTGGTAAAAATATATATAAATAAAACTGAGTTTCAAAATATATGGAAATTATTTTCATATTCATTCCCTACTTATACAAGATTGGTTATTGCAGTGTACAACACTTCCTTTCTGAGTAGGGACAATGTGGTTTCAAGTCTGAATTAACTTGCAGAAGTTATATGTATGAGTGATCCACAGGCAGAAAGGATATCATTGGAATTGATATACATGGAAATTATTGTGATAATGATGATATCAGAAGCCATTTCTTTGTTCTTTTTGCTTTTAAAGAGTCATTAACAGTGTGTAATTCCTTAAACTAGGTATTACATGGTAATACCTAGTTTCAATAATCATCAACAAAGTTAAGCTGGCAGCTTCAAAAACAAGCATTTACCCTTACAACTGAAATGAAAACAAGACCACTTACTTTATTTCTTTTAATTTCTGTTCATTGTCCCTCAGCGGAAACTTTCTTCCTCATTTTCAGACATTCCCCTCCCTGAAGGGAACACATCATTGC